GGCCGCAAGAGGGGCCCAAGCGGAGGCCCTAGGGGCACTCCTCCACAAAATGGCTAAGAACTCCAACATGCCCTCGGTGGCCCCCAACAGATCCCCCAAAAGACCACAGAGGGCCCAAAGAGGTCCTGAGGAGCCCCAACAGGGCTCGCAAGAGTCCCCCCCGAGGCCTCCAAGGAGGCCCCCACGACGCTCTGCAACAAACCGGGTTTCAGAAAGCTTGCGAAACGAAGTGCCACATGTTACGGGCTTGTGCTCGGAAAACTTGTCCTTCCTTTCGCGCCACTATATCCGCAAAGGCGAGCAGCGCGAGAGCGGCACATCGAATGCTAGGCAGGACGCGACTTGCATCGAACGAGTAGACCCCAACAGTAGGGTCAGTGTAAGCTACGCAGTTACGCGGCGCAAGCTATGTGCAAGCTACGTGGTAGAATGTGTGCGGTGCAAGCTTTGTGGTATAAACTATGCGGTGCAAGCTACGTGCTGTAAGCTATGTGGTGCAGGCTGCACCGTGCAAGATGTGTACAAGCTGCGTGGCGCAAGCTACGTGGTGTAAGGCATGTGATGCGAGCTACTCGGCAACAGCCAGGTCGTGCAGTCTACGCGGCCGCCCAAAGAGCGAAATGGTCCACGGGCAGACGCCAAGGCGACATCCCGGCACGCCAACCGAACGCACGAGGCGTTCACTGGCGCCCACGGGCGCGCACCAGCCGAACCCTCGGCACACCCACCCAGCGCACGAGGCGCCCACGGGCGCGCACCAGCCGAAGCCTCGGCACACCCACACAGGGCACGAGGCGCCCACTGACGTGCACGGACGGGCACCAGGCGAAACCCGGCGCACGAGACGCTCACGGGCATCTACCAGCCGGGCACCAGCCGAAAATCCGGCACGCCCAACCAGAACCATCAGACACAGATAAAAAAAACTTGATTCCAAACACTGTTTTGGGCTGCTGAAGCAAATGTCGGAACATTCATGACTTCCGACAATGATAAACAAAAGACCGATCCAACTTACCAATCATCTGACCGTGTCTCGTCCCAGATGAATCCATGTCTCCATGACGCTGACCACATGCGAAGCACGAGATCACACCATATTACAATTGGCTTGCCGCAGAATGAAGACAAATCCACCGACCCTGTCGGCGTGTGGAAGAGGCTGTTCCGCGCGAGCCACAGCGAAATTGAGCAACATTGTAGTTGAGTCGAAAAGAAGCCTCTTCCCGTTGATCCCTTCCCCGCCGGGGGGGGTCCCTGGGGTGGGGTCCCGGGGGGGGTCACGGGGCAGATACGACTCCCCCCCGGGCGGTTCGGGGGCCTAGAAAAGCACCAAGACGCGGCAAAAGTGCTCCAAGATGTCCCCAAAACGGTCGTCGAGGGCCCCGAATCGCCGAAGTATCGGTCCAAGTCGCCAAATCTCCAGACGGCTCGAAAGGTTTCCAACGCGCCCCATTAGGCCTGCAAGAGGACTTCCAAGACGGCCCCAAGAGCAAAAAACGTCGATTCCCTTCAGTTCTTTGAAATTCAGCATTCTCGCCTTGTCAGCTTCCTGACGCTCCAAGACAGGCCAAGAGGCCTCCAAGACCGCCCCAAGATGGCTCAAGAGGCCTCCAAGAGAGCTTCACAACGACCCAAGAGGGCCCCAAGACCGCCCAAGAGGCCTCCAAGACAGCCGAGGAGGCCCCCAAGACTGCTCCAAGAGGGAGCCCAGACGGGGGACCCGAACGGACATTTCGATCCCTCGGCCTGAGAAGCTCCCAGGAAGCCCCCAGAGGCCCCTCAGAAGCCCCCCAAGAGGCCCCCAAGAGGCCCCCAAGAGACCCCCAGGAAGCCCCAAGAGGCCCCCACGAGGCTCCCAAGCGGCTCCCAAGAACTTCCCAAGAGGCCCCCAAACTACCCCCAAGAGGCCCCCGAGAGCGCAAGTCTTCGTCGTCATTCAGGGTCGGCGGCACCGTCCATAAGGCCTTCGCAATCGATCACGCGACGATTCTGCAATTACAATAGCAGAAACGGCTATCTCTAAACAACAACCCATGGGTGCTACGACAAACCCTCGTGCAGGGCCCCGTCGCGGCTCGAAGTAACGTGAAATAGCGGCGCGAGTCGATCAGAAAAGGCGATGGCGTGACTCGATCGAAAAAATCGTTCAAACATTTACATCTCTCTATATATATATATACACATATATATGTGTATATATAAGAGGTTGGCGAGCATCAGGGTTATTCGCCTGGCTCGAGCTCCCTGCCCTCCAATGCGATCCAAGCTCTGCCCCAACGTCGCCGTGCCCTGGCTAGAACGTGGAGCGGGTATGCGACACAATACTTGTGGATGTTCTTATGGATCTCCTGTGTCCGCGTGACCATGGCCACCTTTCCACGACCGCCTTGAAACTCCGTGTGTCTTATGAAACGTGCAGGCTTAGAAAAACAGAAAACAACATAATCATGAACTTTCGAAACTCCGCGTGGATTTCTTGGAACCGCGCCGGGCCCCCTTGGCATGAAACAAAAACAATACCCGCAACAAAAACTGTGTTCAATTTCTCGGAGACGAGTGCGACGGACACCTGGACCGTCGAAACACAAGTTGGGACAAAAAACGGGTCCGGGGGAATGGGTCAAGTCCATTGGGGGTCGACGCATTGACACAATCATGACGTCGGAGGTCTGTGCTCTCAGGTGCAACGGCTGGCAACCCTGAGATCCGGGCGTTGCAATTTTTCAACACTGGCAATTTTCGTCTAATTTCGGGCCCAAAGACACTCACAGATCGATCCGGCTCGAGAGATGACGCGGGAAGATGGGGTCTAGAGCCGTGGTCGTAATTTTTCAATGTTGTAATTGTTTCGCATCGTCGGATCTCAGGGAACACGTGTTTGGGCCCCTGGGAATCGGCGCGCCCCAACACGTCACAACCACACTGTGGATACGGGCAGGAGTCGAACTGAAGAGCTTCCGCCCACGCGAATCCATTTCCCTCTTCAGGTTGCGCACATCATGATGTTCATTCGCCTGCTAATGGCGGTCAGGCTGCTAGGGGTCAGAGTCAACGAAGAGAAAACTAAGGACACAATATCTTGGAAAAATGCTGGGCCAAGAATTCCCAGAGGAATTACCACCGGAAAAAAAACACGAACACGTAGCTCGGGGCAAAAGATACTGTCCAGAACATCAGGAACGTCCAAGGAATTTAGCTTAGTACCTTTACCTTACTCGGGGACGACAGACGTCGTCGCGTCCATCTTCCCCGTCTTAGGGGGCAACGATATGGGGAGACGGGCAAAGCGGGGATGCATCGACCTGGAATCGGCGATACCTCACCGATAGATCGGCGACAGGCCGCCGATAGCGCATCCGCACTTTCCTGGGCGGGTTGGGACTATCAGACCCGTCGGCGATCAATAGGCGATTGGGGGTCGACGCATCCCCCGCGTTCAAGTGTGATAGAAAATTCGGATCAAGTGTAATCACGAGCTGCAGTGGCAACGATGCTCGGCTCAAGTATGGCAAAGCGACTTGCGCCGAACATCGTTGCCACTGCAGCTCGTGATTGCCCATCCCCCCCCTGTCGTTGCCCCTGACGTCGTCGCGTCCAGGGGAGCGGGGCCCGGCGGGGTCCTGCAGGGCCGGAGAGCCCGCGCGGCCCGGCGGAGGCCACGGCGGGGCGGGGGGCGGAGGGCACGGTGGGGGGGCGGGGCCGCGGCGTCGCCGGGGGCCCGCGGGGGCTGCGTGTTTTTTCGTTCCTCGGCAGCGGAAGCACAACAACGCAGGACCCCTTCACGGCGACCTGGGGCGATGGCGGAACGTTTCATGGAGACTGCATTTCTTTTTTATGATGTTCAATGGAAAAAATATTAGCCAACAGTAATCCCTGGACAACACCTCGGACAACCTGGACAGCCCCTACGAGATGCATGTCAGAAGCGTCCCAGCATGTGATTGTGGCTGGCGCTCGAGCGGCAGCACAATACCCTCTTGGGGATGTAGCTCATGATGTCCATCCTATCTGGTCTTGCCCTTTCCCCTTCTCTGTTGTTGCTGCACTGTTGCTGGCCACTGCTGTTTCTGTTTAGCGACCTTGAGCCACTCTCTGCGGGTGGGCCAACGCTTACGCTTGTCTGGGTTGCTCAGGAATGCATGCAACAAATCGCAGGCCCGCGGCGAGTCCTGTGTCTCTCCGCATTCACTCAATGCGCAAACTGGGCGCTAAGATCTGCGCCTGTGAAAGACTTCTGATTTCCATCGGCAGCTTGATTGGAGTTATACAATTTTGGCGGCGGGCTTTTTACCTACATTGCATTTCGTCGATATTCGGACTACGAGAAACTGTCCGCGCCTGCGGCGGGCTTCTGAGTTCCGCTGGCTGTCGACCAGCCGCCAGTCGCCTCAGAGCAACTTCCCAACCGCGGCGCGCCGTGACGCCTGAGACCCCATGACGTCCCTTGACTTTTCGTGTGGGCACGTCATGCTTTCCACAGGAGAACTATCGACACCCAAGAAACCCAGGGCACCCTGGCTGGAGGCAAGCAGGGTGTTTCTTGGCATGGGTGTCCACTGTATCGGGGCCAATGCCCATGTGCGTGAGCATCGTGCGGGCCCGCGCACGCACGGTCGCCCCCTGCGTCGCCTGCCAGAGGCGAAGCCCCGCCTCGGCGGGCTGGCAGATGTTGTAGCCAGGGTGCTCAGGCAAAGGGGGTCGGAACAGCCCCCTTCCGCTCTGCTCTCTACCGATGCAGGAGGGATCCCTGGTTGTTGCATGAAGTAACCAGCTGAGGACCTTCCTGAGGGCTGTGCAGGGTTCGAGCGGCGGATGCGGCTGGGCAAACCTCCCCTGCCCCGACCGTCCTGACCGAACCTGCCTCCAGGCCGCGCCCCTGCCCGCCGGAGAGCCGATCGGGGCACGATCACGCCGCTACATCTGGTCTCTCGTCGACCTCTGACCGACTGTTGTCATCGCCATCTGCACGCCGATGAGTAGCAGCGCACATCATCGGCCTCTGGCATCGCGGCTGCGGCCGCAGCCGCAGCCGCGGCCGACGCCGCCATGGCGTGCCCAGGCCGCGGCGGCGGCGGCCAGGCTGCTGGAGGCGGCCGCGGCGGGGGGCTGCCTTCGTGCAAGTGCGCCGATCGGAAGGCTCCCACGGTGCTGCGACTTTCCGCTCCCCTCGCCCAGGGAAGGCCCCAAAAAGACCCCAAATGTAGCCCCTAGAATCCTCCAAGAGGCTCTCGCACCAAAAGATCCGCGAAGGCCTTCTCCTCGACCTCCTTCTTCTTCTCCTCCTCCTCCTCCTCCTCATCCTCCTCCTCCTCCTCTTCCTCATCCTCATCCTCATCCTCATCCTCCTCCTCCTCCTCCTCCTCATCATCATCATCCAACTCCCTCCTCCTCCTGCTCCTCCTCCCTCCTATTCCTGCTCCTACTCCTGCTCCTCCTCCTCATCCTCCCTCCTATTCCTGCTCCTCCTCCTGCTCCTCCTGGCCCTCTTCTTTTTTTTCTTAATGCTTCTCCTCTTTCGCCTCCCCTCCTCCCCGCTTTGAACCCCATCCAAGCAATTCTTATGGGCATCGTTCCTGGGTTGTCCCTGGATGCCGCCTTGGCATCCCCGGAGAGGCCAGGGCAACCCTGGGCCAAGCTTGCATCACCCGACTCCCCTCTCCCCCCCCCGTCGCGTCTGCAGCCGGATTCGGCAAGAAGGGCGAGCATGACGATGCTAGCAGCTTGCAAGGCGCCAGCAGGAATGGCACGAGGAGAGGGCGGGCGGCAGCAGGCAGAGGACGCCCGGATGACTCTATAACGAAGGACGCAGGTGTGGCTTGCGACACCTTGCCATTCTCAGCGGGCTGACCTTGACTGTGCCCCCGACCCCGGGGAAAGAAGGAGGGTAGACTGGAGAGGCGGGGCCAGCGAGTCCGACGTCGACTTGCCGCTGGCGCGCCCGAGGAAACTTCCGCTTGGTGGCCACATATGAACCCTGCCCCCACCCCCCACGGTTTCTGAGGGTGGTGGTGGTTCATTTCGTTCGGGATGTCCCGAGAGGAGTGACCCCCCCCCTTAGAAATCGTGGGGGGTAGGGGTAGGGTTCACATGTGGCCACTGACCCTTGGTTCGAGACATTCTCCATTCTGGGTGCCTCGGACAGCGGACATCTCAAAGTCCTGGTTTGCAACGTCCTGCTTTCATTGGCCCTGGGAAGCTCATGATGCAACCATGCCAGCTGCCGAAAAGCTTCCGCGGGCGGGGCTCGGGGACGCACTGACCCGGGTCAGTGCAAGCCCGGATCAGTCAGACCTTGCATGATCCTGCAAGGTCCTGCAGGATCCTGCGCGCAAGCCCGGGTCAATGCACCTTTCTTAGCTGCCCCGATATGCGACACGCAACCCGTAACGTGTTGACGCGGAGCTCACCACGTAGACTGAATACGTTGGTCTTGCGCGATACGTTCGCCGAAACGTGGGCCAACACGGTGAGCCAAAGCGCAACGGGTCACCGCGGACGTTTTGAGCACGGTACGTGTTGCGTCTCGAGATGGGCGTATCAGGGCAGCTAAGGCACCCTTGGCTCTCCAGGAGCCTGCAAGATCCGGCGCCCTGGCTGATCCCTGCTTGCACCGCCCCCCGTCTCGGGGCTCCCGAGGGGCCTTCCTCGTGTCAATCCCGGCAGTCTCGGGGGGCCGCCGCAGACCTGCACCGGGAGGGGGGCCCAGGGGCCCATTCTCGGCGAGGCGTCACGGAGCACCCTGGACTTCTTCTTCTGGTCTGCGGCGCCTTGGGGTCCAAGTTGCCGTCGAGCTGCAGCGGGGCTGCTGCTGATCGAAGCAGGCACGGGAAGAGGGAGGAGCGGCGGGAGGGAAGCTCTGGGAGAGGGCATGGCCGCGGACGGCCGGAGCGCCCTCAAGAGCACGTACCACACGCAACGCCTTCCACCGATGACCTGCGTGCTCGACCTGCACGTTTTCGATGCGTGGAGTTCCGAAGCCCGACTGTCTTGCTGACGAGATCCGCGGGCCCCGTTGGGGCACACAACCTTCCCAAATAGGGTTTTCGTCCTCATGGTTGAATGTCCCAGGGCCCGAAAATCGCACGCCAAACCCCCCCCACCGAGGCCGAGGCGGAGGAAGAGGGGGTACTGGTGTGCGGGCTGTGTCGGGGGGGTGAAAGCCAGGATGGAAAACAACAGTCCGCCCGAAATCTTGAACCCAATCCTGCGCATGGGTCTCTGTTTGCGTCGGCAACGCGGGGCCTGGGCTTAGAGCAGCCAGGCGGCGTGACTCCTTTTCGGGCCGCCTGAGGGATGCCGGCGCGTAGAACTGGAGCAGGGTGAGGGAGGCGGCGGCGTTATGAGATAGAATGAACCCTTTCTCGACGGACCCTGGAGAGACTGGTGTCATGATACAGTTGGCCCAGAATGCATATCTGTAGCCCGCGCGGAAGACCCAGGACATCTCAGAACGCGTCCTTATCCCGACCCCTTGATCGTCTGGGCCCTGGCCCTTCAGAAGGCAGACGACTCATTTCGGGTCGGACGAAAGAGGAGGGTAGTCTTGTAAAGGAGGGGTTGGCGAATCAGCTCACGTAGGTGATGCTCCCGGCGCCGAGGGCGCCAACGTGTCGAAGACGTCGCCGGGCGGGGGGGCCGGAACCAGATGCATGCACCAGGACTGCGTATACCCCCCCTTCCCCCGTGATCCTCCCCCTTCGCCCGACCCGATGCCTGGCAGGGTCCCTCTCCCTCCCCGAGGCTCCGGAGGAGGGCCTCGGAAAGGGGCCTCCGAGGGGCGGCTCGCCCTGCCCGACCTCCGCTCGCCGCCGAGGACTGCTCCTGCCGACCCCGCGGCAGCGACTGCCCTGAGAACTGGACGCCTTTTGCTTCACCTCGGGCTCCGGGCCATCGCGGATCGGCCCGGCTCGAGAAAGCACCAGGCGTGCCCTGCTGGGGGTTGGATCCTGGGGCCATCGCGGATCGGTCTGCCGCATGAAGACCAGATCGAGGCCTCCGCTCGCCAGCTTGCACGATGTTGCATGTGGTTCGAGACGCCGGATCTCGGGGCCAGTGGGGGGTACCCTGTTCTTTGCTCCTTAACTGGAGGTCCCCAAACCTTGCGATGACAGACCGTGCTGTGACCGCGAAATCCAAAAGAACTTCACCGCACGGTCCGATTTCAAACGGTTTGGGGCCCTGCGGCATGGAGACCCCAGTCGTCTGGGACGTCCTCGGAGAACGACCCAAGTCCCAAAACCGTGCGGGGTGACCCCGAATCCACGCTGACTCACACACGGTGTGGTCACCACACCATTTGGGAGCCCCCGACGACGATACGCGACCCCCAGGAGTCTCTTCAGCGCCCGTTCAGCGTCTCTGGCCGCCGAGCGGGCCGACGTCACACTGCCGGGTTGGAACTGAGACCGTTCGGCTGCCGGTTCGGCGGCCGCACGGGCTCAGATGCCGTTTGGGCTCAAGAGGGACCCCCTGGCGCGGGTGTCTTCAGAATCAACGATTTGAGGTTCTGATTGACGCAGTGTGGTTTCTGCGGGATGCTCTGCGTGTCAAAGAGACGAAATCCAAGCGGGGGCGGGCAACTGGCGTGAGAAACTATAACTCCTCGAGGTGTATCCACGCCTCGTCATCGAATTCGCAAGGCGCAGGCATGGGCGAACGACCTGTTTGGCCGACTTCGAAAACCTGAATCCAAGCATGTGGAAGATACCGGTACCCGTCGGTCGGAAGAAGTGCGTCGAAGCATAAAGTAGTACGGCGGTGAGAGTGGAATGGGCTTCCACACGCTCCCTGAAGAGGAGGGAAGAGGGAGCACCACTCGACTCTTGAAGTAGGACGGCGCCTAAAGTAGATTACGACGTGGGCATCCCAAAAATCTACTTTCAACGACCGACGTGTATCCGTATCCACCCCCTCGCATGCCAGGCCCCTAGGCCGCGACCCAGTAGAGACGGGGCGCTTCCTCGCGGGTGCCGGGCGCAGAACGTATCCACGCGACCGCGCATCCACGAGGATCGTACCCCAGAGTCTAGCACGCAAGGGCGCGGCTATGGATACGTTCGCCGCTCGTGATGAGAATTAGTCCTGTGCGGAGTGGGCAGCCTCGGGCAGCATCAGCGTGTTACTCTTGGAAGAGCACCAGGAATCCGGAGATTCAGGCAAAAACGAAAGAAGGGGCGACACGCTGACGGGCCCCCAACAGCAGCGTATCAATCATTGATACATGTCTCCCTCTCGAGTGTGCTCCTCCCCTGGGGAGCGGGCCTGTCTTGGAGGCGGCTGGGGGGTCAGAATAGGATTGGCCCCGAGAAAATCGGCCAAAGAGCGGGGATAGAAGCAAATTGGCTCGAAATCGGTCCCTGGACCCTCTCGGGGTCCACCTGGTGCAAACTTTCACGCCTGGTCCAATCTTGAGGGCCCGGGGCCCAGAAAACGGCCCCCGGACACCGAAGAGAGGCCAAAAACCTTCCCGAACCCAAAGCCTCAAACCTCGCCGACCCTGTCCTGCTGGCCAGAACCAATGCTGGGCCACCCCCCAGTCGGCTCCAAGGCCAGCTCCAGTCGGGCTTAGCACTCCGAGATATCGTTTCGGTGGATCTACTGACCCGGGCCAATCCAAACCCGGATCAGTCGGGCTGTGCAGAATCCTGCAAGATCCTGCAAGATCCTACAGGATCTTGCAACCAAGCCCGGGTCAATGCACCCCTGGCACTGCAAGATCCTGCAAGATCCAACGCACTGACTGACACTCGTCTGCATTGACCCCCGTCTCTTGAGCCACGATGGATTGGTGTTCCTCCCGTCCAAGTGTGACCGTCTGAGAAATCGCTCCCAGGCTCAGGAATTGCACTTGTCATCCGGGGCTTGAGTCCCAGGCATTCGGCGCCTCGACTTTTTTGTTGGAGACACGGGCCGCCGACCTCTCGACCACTTCCTCGGGACTGGTTTCTCGTCCCGAGTCGTTTTTTGATGGCCCCGAGGCCTGGCAAGCTAGGGCCCCGAGGGGCCAAAACCGACGAAAAACCTGCGTCCTGACTTCTTTCGAGACACCAGGTATCTGAGTGCCCGGATACTCAACACGCAAAACGTATAGCGTATTGATACGGAGCTCAACACGTAGACTAAAACGTAGGTCTGACGCGATACGTTCGCCAACACGTGGGCAAACACGTTGAGCCAATACGCAACGTATTTTCACTGACGTTTTGACACGGTATACGTTCTGCGTATCCAAACGGGCGTATCGAGGCAGCCGAGCCCCACCTGCCCGGTTGCTTTCTCCCCCGGCGCCCCCCCCACCCCCACGGCGCGCCAAAGGGCCGCGGCTGCGGGCGCCCCCAGCCGCCGGGGGCGGCGGCGAGCGTCCCGGGCGCGTGGGCGAGCGCCGCCCGGGGCGGTGGCGGCGAGGGGGATCTCCTTGCCGGGGGGGGGGGATGCTCGTTCTCCTCTTGCAGTTCCTTCCTCTTCTCCTCGTTCGTCGGCACGTCATACTACGCCACGAAAATACATACACAGACACCGTCCGACGAGCTTTGGATGTACCTTCAGGTAAGGTGGCGGTGTATAAAGTCGCGGGCTCTCAATGGTAATTTACACACCGCAGGCCCAGGAACAATACATTACAAGGCGTCGGTGGCGGGCCTACGTGCCCCTGTTGCAGCTTGCGTGGGGAGAGCGCGTGGCCGTGGCTTGGCTGCCTGGCCTTCGCCAGAGCGGCCGACCCGTGGGGGTGAGGGGCAGCAAAGGGGGGGGGGCTGGCGCATGGGGGGGACCATGGACCTGGAATCGGCGACACATCGCGGATAGATCGGCGATAGGCCTCCGACAGCAAGTCCCCCACGTTCCTGGGCGGAGGGACTATCAGACCCCCATGGGCGATCAATGGGCGATTGGGGGTCGATGCATCCCCCCCCGTATCGCTGCCCCTGAAGGCTGTTCCTTCCCCTGCTGCTGCTCCTTCAGTGCGCGGCAGGTTCCCAGGCACAGAAACACAGACACACACACACAAACACACGCGCGTAAATTCACACCACACACTACACGCACACCACACTCACAGACACACAGACACGTAGTCGCACAGACACACACAGACATAGACACACATACAACACTACACACACCGCACACCACACACAGACCCATTGACACACAGACACACACAGACACACACAGACACAGAGACACAGAGACACAGACACACACTACATCCTACACGCTACAGACTACACACTACACACACACCGAATCGAACAGGACTCCGTTCGGCTAAATACCGCGGCTGAGAGTGACGATCACCGGTCCGCTTCTGTGGGTCGGGAGCACAACCGTGCGCGACAAAAGCCCGAGACGCCCTTGGCGTGAACGGCGAGGCTCACGACGTGCCGAAAACACGGCAGGCGGCCACAGGCCAGCGCATCCGTGCAGCAAGCCACGGATGACGAACAACCGACACAACCTGCTGCGCGGGAGCACACGGGAGAAGGGCCCGAGTTTGCCCTCGGTCCTCGAGAACTGACCGTCGCGCGGCCCAGGCGGCGCGGCAAGCAGCGGCCCTGCACTCCGCAGGGGGGGGAGCGCGGCGGAGAGGAGGCCAGCCCCCCCTCTTCCGAAGCGCACCGCCTCCCCCCGAGGCCGGCCACCTCTTCCAAAAGGCACCACCCCTGGCTGCTCATCCTGACCACCGGCATCGTTCCTCGCCTCCCCCCTGACCCCCATCTCACGTCTGAAGCCTGCTCCTGCTGCCTGCTCCTGCTGCTGCTGCTGCTGCTGCTGCTGCTGCTGCTGCTGCTGCTGCTGCTGCTGCTGCTGCCCCTTTCCCCCCCCTTCTGTTCCGCTCCAACTGCTCGGCGTCCTCGCTCTCCTCCGCTGGCTCCTCCCCATTCCCTCCCCGCCCTCTGGAGAAGCTCCTGTCTGCCGCGCCAGCGGCTCCCCCGCGCATCCCAGCCCTCGTTCCCCCCCCCATCCGCTCCCTCCGCTTCCTTCTCGCCCTTGGGGACCTTCCCGTCTGTCGCGGCGGCGCCCCCCCCCCCTGACCCCCCCCACCCCCCCCCGCCCCAGCCCCTCGCCACCTTCCTGGAGACTCACGCACCCATCGCCGGGCGGCCAGGTGCCTCTCCGACACCTGGCTGCTCAGCGGCCCCTCACCACATGGCCGAGTCCTCTCTCGGCACGGGCAGCCAGGGGCGGCCAAGGCTCCCCGCCCGTGCCACCGTCCGCCTCCCTTGCTCCCCCTCCCTGCCCTCCTCCTCCCTCTCTCGTCCGTCGCCCTCTGCCTTCCTCCCGTCTCCTCCGCCCCCCCCTGAGGGCAACGACTTGGGGTCAGACTGGTCCATGTAGTGCAGCCTTGGGGGCAGACTTGGGGGGCGACGTCTGGGCCTGCAGTGCAGCCAGCCAGCCTCCGAAAACCCCAGAGGATGATAAGTATGGAGGAGATGAGAAGGGTGGAGGGCAGGAGGAGGATGAGAAGACAGGAGAAGGAAAGAATTCCCCCCCGCAAGCCAGATCCAAGCTGGGGAAAGGAAACGGGGAACAAAGAGGAGGATTCGAAAAAACGGAAGAGGGCGGATCCACCATACACGCTCGGAAATCTCACCACGCGTTGAACCGATTTCGAGCCGATTCGGACATGCATACCTCGGCAATCCGTTCCCTCAGGAACCCTCTCTCTTCATAATGATGCCAATGGGATCTCCGGGTTTCCTGGGTGAAGTCCCCCAGTGAAAGGGACACAAACAAAAATAAACCCAGTGCGACCCCCATTATGGGAACGCTTCCTAAATGGCATTGCTTGGCACCGCCTGCCATCGCTTAGCGTGGCATTGCCTTGTGTACCTTTGCATGTCTGTGCATTGGCGTACTTGGCTTTGTATGTCGTTGCTTTGCTTGGGATGGTTTGGCGCTGTTTGGCTATGTTTCGCCTTGTTTGGCGCTGATTCGCTTTGTTTGGCATTGCTCTGGATTGCTTGGTGTTGATTGGCGTTGTGTCGCGTTGCTTGGCACTGCTTGCCGTTCAGTTGCTTAGCTGCGGTCTTTTGCTTGACATCGTATGCTGTTTGAAATAATGTTGCGTTACTTGGCATTGGTTGACACTGCCTGGCACTGCTTGGCGTTACTTTGCATTGGTTGACATTGCGTTGCGTTACTTTGCATTGCTTGGACGTGCTTAGCATGACGTGGGTGGCATTGCTTAGCGGTGCTCGGGTTTGCGGGGGATCTAGTTGCACGTCTTTGCATCGCTTGGGATTGCTTGGCGTCGTTTGGTAGTGCTTCGCATTGCTGGATATTGCTTTGCACTGTTTAATTTTGTTGCTCGGCATTACCTGCCATTGCCTGGCATTGTTCGAGATGGATTGGCGTTGCTTCGCATTGCTTTCCAGTGTTTGGCGTTACTCTGATTGGGCAATCATGCCTCAGCGCGCCACATGTGAATCTACGTGTGTGTGTTGGGCATTGCTCAGCATTGCATTGAGCTGCTGGGCATTGTTTGGGAATGATTTGGTTTCTGTCTGTGGCGTTGCTTTGGTTTGTGTTGGGTTGAATACTTTGGGATAGCTTTGCATTGCCCAATATAGTTTGCCAATGCTTGGTATTGGTTTTGCTTGGCATTGTTTTCATTGTTTTGCATTGCTTGCCATTGTTTCTATTGTTGGCCTTGCGTTAACAAAACCTAAGGGAACCGGGGATCCCGACAAAGGCAGCCCTTGCACCCTTGCAGGAACAATAAAGGAAGAACACTAGAGGAACTCGGTAAACCAGGGGAGCCCCGAGGATCGCTGGTCAGAGCAGGCTTAACGCCCATCAGTTTAGCAAACATTGCCCCTTTAGGACGCCTAGTTTGGGAACGTACCAAGATCTCGATGTGTAATCCTCGATCCTCGTCGTCGATCCTTGGCATGGAGAAAAAGATCATGGCGGAATCGGGCTTTGGACTCCCACCCTTTCCCCGGGACCACGCTAGCGCATCCCAAATTGTTTTCGACTGGCCCAAGGCCTGGAAAGGGCGAGGGAGCCTGAAGGAGGCACCTCCAGTACTTGATCACAAGTAGTTTTATGGACGGCCCGGGGGCCCAGCAAGACCCCGAGGAGCCTGAAACTCAAGAGGCTTCAAGGACCCCCTTTCCTCCAAGATCCTTGTCTTTCATGCTGAGATGGCGGATTCCGGAAACCCTGAACCCAAACATGTTGTTATCTCTTAAAGGGCAACTCTTTACTTCCGCCACCTGCCAACCTTCCGCCGCCTTCCGCCAGCGGAGGCAGCCTCGTTTTACTTGCGCAGACCTTCCGTCGAGGAAGAGATGACAACTCCTTCGATCCTCGAAGGCAAGGCCCTTGTCGGAACGCCCCATATGTCATACGAGCTGAACGCGCAATGGCGACACCATTACCACCATCTGGAGGAGCCGGGGAAACTCCTGATGGTATGGCACCCCCTGCCGTGCCGCGTCCCGCGAGGAGGAGAAGGAAACGGAATCGAATGAACCCCATCAAAAGGAACAAACAACGCCGAACCCCAATGACGAGGAAAACCCTCGGCTTGTCGACAACTGCTTGGGACATTGGCCATCCGTGAGACGCTGAATGCACAGAAGACGCGTGGGATTGAGCGGTGGCCCCGTCAAGGGGGCCCTGACTTGGGAGCTCCCGAAGGTCCATCCACGCCAATCGGCTTGGTCCTTCGGAAAGATCTCTGGGCGTTTTTCTCACCGTTTTGCAGTGTTGGCTCTAACGTGCCAAAACTGCCAACAACACGCTACGCGTTTTTAGTGTTTGCAACTGAAGGCTTTAGCGTTTGCAACCCCGTGGCTGTGGATTGCTTTTCCGTTCTTCGCTTTCTTGTCAAAGGCTGCGCCTTGTCTTCATTGCCGTCTTCTCTCCCTCTCTCCCGTTCCTGCCGCCTACTCTTCCTCCCGCCCCGCGCAAGGATGACTGAACGCAAGGAGAAGGAACTGAGGACGTCGTAGACGGCAATGTTGGACCACGCAATGAGCTGATCTGAAAAGCATAGCAACACTGAACTCAAAACGCACAACCAAATGTGACTCGTTGTTCCCCACATGTTTCGTGGTGCTATGGTTTTCTTCTCTGCCGCGTCGCACCCGCGTCTCCTTCCGCCACACACCTCCCCCTTCCCCTCCTCCTCCTCCTCCTCCTCCTCCTCCTCCTCCTCCTCCTCCTCCTCCTTCTCACCTCTCCCTCGCCTCGCCCGAAGGCAACGCGTGCACGGCACGTGGGGCTCTGTCGCGTCGCACCCGCGTTTCTCTTTCTGTTTCTCCTCCTCCTCCACACCCCTTGGTACTCCTCCGTCTCGCTCGCGCTTACAGAACCACCGCGGCAGACGTGGCCCACACGCATCAAACACATGCACATGAAGAGCCATACATAAAAGAGGTATGTCGCAGGGCCTCGCAGGCATGGCACTTTCTCAACGCTAGGGAGGGTGCGCAGGGGGTAGTTTTTCACCGCGGTCTCTGTACGCGCCAATGTCGCAGGGCCTAGCAGGCGTGGCACTTTCTCGACACCAGAGGGGGAGCGCAGGGGGTGGTCTCTCGCCGCGGTCTCTATACGCTCCAATGCCGCAAGGGCCTAGCAGGCGTGGGGCGCGGCGAGGGGGTGGGGTGGGGGCGTGCAAGCGGATGGGGCCCGCCGGCCGCCGTCGGCGCGGTCCCGCCGTCGCTGGGGCGGGTGGGGGGCCGAGAGGGTGCGAGGAGGAAGAGGACGAGGGAGAGGGAGGCGGGGGAGGGGGGAGGGAGGGGGAGGAAGAGGGAAGGACGGGGAAGACGGGGGGCGGGGAGGAGACGAGGAGGACTTGAGAGGGGGGGACAGAAGAACGAGGGAGGGAGGGGGGAGGGAGGCCCCAAGAGGCTCCAAAGAGGCCCGAGGGAGGCGGCGAGGCGGAGGGCTCCCCAGCAGCCCCGCCCGACAGCGGCGGGCCTCCGCCCAGCGGCGCGGCGGACCACGGCGAGGGCGCGGGCGCAGGCGGGGTTGCGCCGTGGGCCGCCCACGGCGGCAGCGCCGCGGGCGCCGCCCGACCCGCGGCGGCCGCGGGTGGGGTGGCGTCGCGAGGTCCTCCAAGGAGGGAGGAGGGTGGAGGAGGGGGGGAGGAGGAAGGAGGCAGGAAGAGGGAGGAGAGAGGGAGGAGGAGGGAGGGAGGGAGGAGGGAGGCGGAGGGGAGGGCAACCAAGAGTGCGTCCGAAGGCCGAACACACCTCAGCAGAAGATGGTGCGGAGCACGCGGAACACGTAAGGCGGAGGAGGAGGAGGAGGAGGAGGAGGAGGAGGAGGAGGAGGAGGGAGGGGGAGGGGGAGGAGGAGGACCATTGCTAACTCAAGACGCGTCAACGATGTTGCAGTCAGTCCTCCCACCAAGTTCCCTTCAGAGGGCCCACAACAAATGCGCTCAAAACTTGATGAGACATCACCACATAACAAATTGTAACAACCCGCTTGGCTTAATGTCGTAACCCTCTTGCGAAAGCCCGCAATTGAGCTGCGTAATGTCTTAACGCAGCGGGGTGCCTCTGCTTGTGGTTATGATGGAGATTGTGCTGGCAAATGTGCCGATAATGTTGCCAAGGGTTGTGGTAATTAGCGGGTTGTGCTGAAAACATTGAGATCGGGGCTTGTGCTCAGGGGCCGTGCCAAGGGGGCTCACTTGGGGGTTGCGCCAGGCGTTGTTCTGGGGGTTACACTGGGGGGGGTGCTGTGGCTGGCGCCGAGGCGGGGGGGGTGCTTGGGGTTGTGCTGCGGGGTTGAGCTGGGGGCGTTGTGCGGGGGGGCATGTGCTGGGGGGTCGAGCTGGGGGGTTGTGCTGGAGACTTGTCGTGGGGTCGACCTGGGGGGTTGTGCTGGAGATTTGCCTTGGGGGTGTGCTGGGGGCTGTACTACGGGGTCATACAGGAGGTTGCGCTGGGGTTGCGCATGTGTGTGTGTGTGTGCTGGGGCATCGTGCTGGGGGGTTGTGCTGAGGGTTTGCGCTGGTGGCTCGTGATGGGGGGGCTTGCGCTGGGGGTCTGCGCTGGGGAGGGTGCTGGGGGTTTTGCTGAAGGGTTTTGCCTGGGGTGTTGAGCTGGGAGGTTTTGCTGGGGGGTGAGCTGGTGGGTTGTGCTGGGGGGTCGTACCGGTGGGTTGCGATGGAGGATTGTGCTGGAGGGGGTTGTGCTGGGCTGTCGTTCTGGGGGCTTGTGTGCAGGGGAGGTGAGCAAAAAAGGCCTGCTGGGGGGTTCTGATGGGGAGTTGTGCCAGGGGTTGTGCTGGATGGTTGTGCTGGGGGGTTGTGTCGGGATGTGTGTGCTTGGTGGCTTGTGCTGGGTGGTGTGTTTGGGGGTTGCGCACGGGTGTGCGCTGGGGGGTTGTGCTCGGGGGGCTTGTGCTGGAGGGTTTACGACTTGAGGGTTGCGCTGAGGGGTTGTGTTCGGGGGGTGTGCTGGGGAGGTTGTGTTGAGTGATCGTGCTGGGGGTTGTGCTGGGGGCTTCTGGTGGAGGATTGCGCTGGAGGATTATGCTGTGTATGTGTGCTGGGGGCGGGTGCTGGGGGTTGTGCTGGGACATTGAGCTGAGGGTTGCGCAGCGGTGCTGTGCTGGGTTTGTGTGTGCGTGTGTGCTCGGGGGTTGCCCTGGGAGGTTGCGCTATGGCGTGGTACTCGGGGGTTGTGCTGGCTGGGTTGTGCTGGGGGGTTGTGCTGAGGGGGCTTGTGCTGGTAGGTTGTGTTGAGGAGTTGTGCTGGGGGGGGTGCGCTGGGGGTTGTGCTGGGGGGTTGTGCTCGGGGGGTGTGCTGGGGAGGTTATGTTGAGTGATCGTGCTGGGGGTTGTGCTGGTGGCTTCTGGTGGAGGGTTGTGCTGGCAAGTTATGCTGCGTATGTGCTGGGGGGGGTGCTGGGGGTTGTACCGGGACATTGTGCTGAGGGTTGTGCTGCGGGGCTGTGCTGGATTTGTGTGTGCGTGTGTGCTCGGGGGTTGCCCTGGGGGGTTGCGCTATGGCGTGGTGCTCGGGGGTTGTGCTGGCTGGGTTGTGCTGAGGGGCTGGTGCTGGTAGGTTGTGTTGAGTTGTGCTGGGGGGATGCGCTGGGGGTTGTGCTGGGGGGTTGTGCTTGAGGGCTGTGCTGGGTGGTTGCGCAAGGTTGTGCAGGGGGGTTGTTCTGGCTGGGTTGTGCTGCGGGAGGTGTCCTGGGGGGTTGTGCGGAGTGTGTGTGTGTGTGTGTGTGTGTGTGTGCGTGTGTGCGTACTGTTTTTGTGTCTGTGTGTATAGGGGGTTGTGCTAGGGGGTCATGCTGGGGAATTGTGCTGGGGCCTTGTGCTGGGGGGTTGCACTGGGGGATTGTGCTGGGGTGTTGTGCTGGGGGGTTGTGCTGGGGGGCTAGTGCTGGGGAGCTGTGCGGGGGGATTGTGCTGGGGGGCTGTGCGGGGAGATTGTGCTGGGGGGTTGTGTCTGTGTGTGTGCTGGGTGGTTGTGCTGGGGGTGTGTTAGAGGGTTGCGCAGGGTGGTTGTGCTGGGGGGTTGAGCTGGGGGCTTGTGCTGGGGTGTTGTGCTAGGCAGTTGGGCTTGGGGGTTGTGCTGGTGTGAGTGTGTGTGTGTGTGCTTGAGTGCGTTTGTTGTGCTGGGGGGTTGTGCTGGGGTGTTCGTGTGTGTGTGTGTGTGTGCCGGGGTGTGCGTGCTGGGGGGTTTGCTGAGGGGTTGTGCTGGAGGGTTGCGCTGTGGTGCTGGCGGGTGTTGCTGGGGGGGGGGGTTGTTCTGGGGGGTTGTGCTAAGGGTTTGTTCTGGTGTGATAACGAATGTGTGGGTGTGTATGTGTGAGTGCTGGGCTGATTTGTTTTGAGGAGATTATGCTGCGGGGTTGTGCAGGGAGGTTGTACCGGGAGGTTGTTCTAGGGGGTGGTGCTTGGGTCTGTGTGTGCTGGGGATTTGTACTGCGGGGCTTGCGCTGGGGAAGTGTGCTGGAGAGTTGTGTTGGGGGTGTGTCGGGGGGCGTTGTGCCAGGGGGTTGCGCTGGGTTGTCGTTCTGGGGATTGTGCTGGGGGGTTGTGCCTGGGGGATTGTGCAGGAGGGTTGTGCTGGGTTGTCGCTCTGGGGTGTGTGCTGGGAGATTGAGCTGAGGAGGTGTGGAAGGTTGTGCTGGAAGGGTGTGCTGGGGCTTGTGCTGGCGGGTTGCACTGGGGGGTTATGCCAGGGGCTTGCGCTGCGGGGTTGTGCCTGTGGGGTTGTGCTGGGGGGGGAGGTTGTGATCGGGAGTTGTGCTGGGGGGTGTGCTGGGTGGTTGTGCCGAGGGGTTCTGCTGGGGGGTTGCGTTGGGCGGTTGTGCTGGGGAATTGTGCTGGGGGTTGTGCGGCGGTGTTGTGCTGGGGGGTTGTGCTGGGACATTGAGCTGGGGGCTTGTGCTGGGGGTTGTGCTGGTGTGTGTGTGTGCGGAGGAGTTGTGCTGGAGTGTTGTACCTGTGTGTGTGGTTATTGTCTTGGGACGGTTGTGCTGGAGGTTGTGCTGGGGGGTTGCGCTGGAGGGCTTTACTGTAAGATTGTGAGCGGGGTGGCGCTGAGAGGCTTTGCTGAGGGGTTGTGCTGGGGAGTTGTGCGGGGGGGTTGTGCTGGGGTGTTGTGCAGTTGTGCCGAGAGGTTCTGCTGGGGTTTGTGCTGGGGGGGTTGTGATGGGTTGTTGTGCTAGGGGTTTGTGCTGGGGGGTTGTGCTGATGGGTTGTGCTGGGGGGTTGTGAGGCTGGGGGGTTGTGCTGGGACGTTGTGCCGTGGAGTTGTGCGGGGGGGGGGGGCGGTTGCTGGGGGATTATACTGGGGGGGTGAGCTGGTGAGTCGTTCTTGGGGTGGTGGTTCTGGTGCTGGTTCTGGGGGGCTGTGCTTGGGGGGTCTGCTCAAGGTTTGCACTGGAGAGTGCTGCCCGGGGGATTACGCTGCGGGGTTGTGCTGGGGAGTTGTGTTGTGTTTATGTGTATGTTTGTGTTTGCGCGTGTGTGCTGGGGGATTGTGCTGGGGATTGAGCTGGTGAGGTGTGCTGGGGGGGTGTGCTGTGCTGGGGGGTTGTGCTGCGAGGTTGTGCTGGAGGGTTGTGCTGCGTGGTTGTGCTGGGAAGTGGGTTGAGCTGCTGAAGGGTTGTGCTGGGGGGTTGTGCTGCGGGACTGTGCTGGGGGTTGAGTTAATGGGGGGTTGTGCTGGGGGATTGTGTTGGGGAGTTGTGCTGGGGGGTTGTGCTTGGGGATTGTGCTGGGGGGTTGTGCCGGGTGTGTGTGTGTTGTGGGTGTTGCGCTGGGGAGGTTGTGTAAACCTCCAGCACCGAGGTTGGTGCACAACCCCCAACGCAATTCCCAGGCGCAACACCCCCAACACAAAATTCCAGCAAAACCCCCAGCGATACCCCCCAGCCCAACCCCCGCCGCACCCCCCGAGCACAGTCCCCAGCACGACCCTCAAGCACAAGCCACCCAGCGTAAATTTCGCCACATCCACCAGCACCACCACTAGCGCAGCCACCAGCGCAAACACTAGCACAACCACCAGCACAACCACCAGCACAACCACCAGCGCAGCCACCAACACAAGAACCATAACAACCACCAGCACAACCGCACGCACAGTCGCCAACACAACCACCAACGCAACCGCTTGCGCTAAGAAACTGGACCAGCGCCAAGGAGCCCGTTCGCGAAATTTCAAGAAAATGAGACCAAGCTTAGGGAAAGGAAATTTCTCAACAGCAGATACGAATGTGCTTCCATTGCGGGATATGCCCAACTGGAAAACAAACGTGTGAGAATCCTCAACCGTGCCAGAATAAAGTCCTGGGACTCGGGCGCCGCGAATTAGCGTGGCTGTTGCGTCCTGACGATCCTAAACCGTGCCACACAACTCCTGGGACTTCAACACCGCGAATCAACATGACCGTTGAATGTGCGTGGCGCCAAAGCAACAGCCACATTGCGAAAACGGCCCGCCCTCCATCCGCCAAGCTGT